TGATCTTGATGCATACTCATTAATAGTACCTATCACAGTGTATTATAGTTTATTTGTACATTTATTTCTCTCTGGGCAGCCTCTGAGCTCTAGAAGGCATAGAATGTATATTCTTTGTCTTAAAACAGTGTTTTAAAGGTCATTATTATAAATTAATTGGAAATTTGATAAGAATTTATTGAGAACCTATTATGTCCCAAACATCAGCAACTGGAATATAGGAGGTGTTCCATGAATCTTACTGATTCACATCTAATTGATGCTTATTACAGTAGTGACCTTCAAAAGACTTTCAGTTTTGATGGTCTGCCCCCCTCAGACAATTGAGTTCACCTACCTCAGAAAGTTAGTACTCAATAACAAACATTTAAGCAGTTATTATTTATTATCTTACCTATTTAACAAATATTTTATTGGACTCCCACTAGATCATTAGTAAAACATTAGAATTCTCTTTGTTTCAAACGCAGAGAGAATCCAGGCTAAATTTGATTTAGAGTTGTCCTCTTTTTAAAGCATCAATTACTATATAGATTTTAATAATAATTGTTTTCAACTTAGAGTGAAAGAATAGCTATGGGCTTTTAAAATTTATGAAAAAGGTTTTGAATGTATTGGTAAATGGTAGGAAGGAGGAGGGAAGTTAGGGGAAGGTCAAGTTCCCAGAAACATTTAATCTACTGAAAGATCACTTGGCTGTACGTGATTTGAAGATTGCATCATAACCTCTCAAGAGGCAGTGTGTCTGAATGGGTGGCCCATGTAGAGAACATATGTTTTAATAGTTGCCATGTAACTTTGGACAAGCCATTTAGGTCACTTAAATATCCCAGGATCTTTCGTAAAACTGGGTCAGGAGGGAAACTGGCCATTCTTTAGGTAAAGTTTAGATATTAGAAGAGTCATAAAAGGCTGGCTGCTTTTTAAAAGGGAGTACACGAAAGGATTGAGGAAAAGTTGGTAAGGGTCATGTGGGGAACCTTTTCTTATTCCTGGGGAAGGAGGAATACATTGAGTTTAAAAAGTAGTAACTTAGAAATGGCTTCATTAACTATTTTCTTCCAAGAAGAAAACATATATGTTTAATTCACACCATTAAAACATAAGGAATGGGGGTAATATGAGATTTTTATAAGTATGTAATACAAACTGTTTCAGTTCTACTTTACGTCCAGTGAAGTCAGAAATGTAGAAGATGTAGATTGGGATCAAGGAAGAAAAAATAAAATGTGGAGGGAGTGATGGAGGACTGGTTTAGGTGTGCTGCCTTCAAGTTCCGCTCCCCTCACTTTCTCTCCACTGCATCCAGATTGTTCTAGACTCAAGACCCAGTGTGCTGGGCAACTCACAGCCCCATTCTTACCAGCCTTGTTCTTTGCAGATTTCAGTCTTCTGGAAGGTCATCTTCACCAAATGGCTGGTACCTACTGCCTTTTGAGCATGAGAGCTCCTGAGAACCTTGCAATGACAGTGTTTTCTCCCTTCAGGGGAGAGGGGTAGACAGCTTTTACGTAGGAATTCTCAGTGGGCACACACTCCTTCATGTTCAGGCGATTTACCACAAATCATTTTATTTTTTAAAAGATTTTTTTAAAGATTTTATTTATTTATTTGACACAGAGAGAGGGAGCATAAGCAGGGGGGAGCTGCAGAGGAAGAGGGAGAAGCAGGTTTCCCGATGAGCAGGAAGTCCGACGTGAGACTCGATCCTGGGACCCTGGGATCACGAACTGAGCCAAAGGAAGATGCTCAACCAACTGAGCCACCCAAGCGCCCCCGCCCCGTCCACAGATCATTTTAGATGCTTGCCCTGGGATGGGCAGAATTTAGTCATATCCCCTTTCTCCCTTTCTTCCTGAGAGTTAGTCCATTAAAAATATTAATCATTCTTTGAATGTGACCTCTGTGTTTGATATCTTTCATTTACTCATTGTATTGTGTCTGACCAGTGTATGATGGTTTACATAATAAAAGCTTTGCAACAACTCTACGGGGTAGACAGTATTACAGTTGTAAAAATCAAGACCACAAGGCTCTAAGAATTAAGTAATTGTGCACAAAATCACCCTACTAGTGAGGAAGAGAGCTCGAATTCATGATAACATATTAAGTACATGCAGACACACACACAGGACTTGAGCAAATGATGGAAGTGGTTGAAGAAGACCTTTTGGGTTTAGAGTAATGTGACCTGGGTGGTGAATTGGAAAGGTTTTTGATGTGGTCTGAATAATTCCTTCTCTGAAGCTAACCACAGTAACAGTTCATTTTGATTTCTCTGCCAACTATGACTCGCTGGTTACTTCCTTTTCTAGCAGTGGGAATTAAGTGACCAGTATAAGGTTCCGTAAGAGTTAAGAGTAGATTGTAGTATTAGAATTTACAGTCTGAAAAGTAAATGCTAACTTGTTCCCTCCCTGAGGGGGCCCCTTCTATGTTTTGGGATCTAGTATATGCTATTTTACTTCATGAAAAGGCACAGACTTTGGAATATGAGGGAAAAGCTACCATTGTGTGCCAGTAAATGCCAGATCATTTTAGAAAGTGGAATTCTTATTAAAAGCAAGTGTGTGACTCAAATGTAGGGTCTACTTAAGTTTTCCCTCAAATGCTTGTGGGTTTTTTTTTTTTTTTTTTTGGTAATTATATTGTTTTCAAATGAAGAACTTGGTGTGCAGTTGTTGGATATGGGGGAAGGGGTAATTTGCAGCAGAAAAGAATAGGGTTTCCCAGTGGGATGTTGTGGTAACAGGGGGTGCCATTGTTCTAGCTGAATACTTTCTTCGGAATAGAAGAGACATTCATTCTTTAATTGACCTAAGTTTTAGCAGCCAGATGTTGGGAAGGAGTTTTGTGGTGCCCTTTTGAAATTGATTTAAGTAAACATGCAAGGCTCATGGAGAGTCTACAACCCCTGCCCCCTGAAGACAACCTCAACCCGCCTCATGTTGTGTCATCAGGAAGGTGACATTAGCCACCTTGAGGGATGCATGTCTAGACCTCCATAAATGTGAAGTAGCTTTAGAAGGAAAAAGAGAATATGAAGAAGCTCTCTGTCCAGTGGGTATGTTAATAATAATAATAAGTAGGAACTCCTCAAAATATTAGAGTCACTTGAGAAATTAAACTGGAATGTAGTATCAGTATCGAAGGACATTTGTCAGAGGAACTCGAGGCAGAAATAGCTGAGGCTGTAGCAAAATAATGTCATTTATCATTTTTATGTAACTATCATACTCCATGCCTGGAAAGCGGCCAATGTTGTACCATCTTTTATAGGAATGTAGAAAGAGAAAGATTGACCTTCTAAGTTATAAGTCACAGACTCTTGCCTTAATTCCAGAAAAAGCAAGCAAATTCATGAGAGATGAGAGACAAGCATTTTAGAGAATATTCAACTCTGTGACTGTCTACAGGAGACGCTAGCTGGAACTCAGGCTGCAAGAGTAGCCCCTAACAGTTTCTTTACTTCCGTTTTGGAAAACCAGAAATCAGTTGAAGGATAATGTGGGAATCACTAAATATATTTGTGAAGATTTCATGAAAGCTATTCTGGAGAAAAAAAAAAAAGACAAAGGAAATAGGATGAAGAGGTAGAATTCTGATCTCAGCATTAAATCTGGTTAGCAGGCATGAGGCAAAGTGCAAAAATAAATAACCAAGTTCTATATAGAAAGAGAACAACAGGATCCCCTTGGATTTAACAGTAGAAGCAGCAATTGCAGTATGCTAATCACTTACATGGAAGAGCTTAATAACCCTGCTGAAAAAACCAGCATTAGATTTTTCTGCTTCAATGAGACTGGATTCCTGTCTTGGCTTAGGTACCATGGCAAGATTTCAGGGAAGAGACTGATCTGTGGCCACCTATCAAATTTTGTTGAGATTCACTATCGAGTTCAAAATTGCCTTTCCTAGGCAGGCAAAGGAGGCTGCTGAATTTGAGCCTTCCATTCCTTCGGCATTTACTGAAAGCCTAGTGCATTCACAGCCATGAACAGCACACTGCACACTGAGGAAGACACAAAAGAAGTAGACAGGATCTCTGCCTCTGCTTGGGAGCATGCAATTTAGTTGGTGAGACAAAACTTAAATACTAGAACCAATAAAAGAAGATTACAAAGCAACCTGCAAGTAAGTGTATAATAATATGGGGCAAATGACACAGATAACTGCAGAGGGGACGTGGAGGAAAGAGAATGAGCAAAACACAACAGTGTTAGATTAGCTGGGAAAGGCGTGTTGCCTAACTGTAGTATAACCTCTCCGTTGCTTTCCACAGAAAGCATCAATGAAAAATAACGTGGGGTAGGAAATGCAGATATTTCTACATTGATCTTTTTCTCCTTATCTGCAGTCTGTCTATCACAGATGGAAATTAAATTGATCCAACAGTTTGCTCTCCACAAAGCTATGTTAGTTTCTACCTAGTAATTTATGCTTTTCTTGGTGTTTGCAAATCGATTGCTATTATGGGATGCAGACAAATCTGGGCCTGGATTCAGTACGTTGGGAGATTAAGGGAGTGAATATATGCGTATGCACACGAAATCCTGGAAAAATGGACTCTCGTTTCTGTGTATTTCACTCACCGAATAAAAACACTTTCAGGTTCTTAAAAGCATGTTTAATTACACTCAGATTGCATTTTTAGGGGATGTATCTGCTTTATTTCATATTGCTTCTGACAGGCCCAACCTCTAAACCACCTTTAGTGGCTTTGGAGCCAGACCTTTTGTTTTTAAAAAAGGCCTTGCTCCATTCTGAGACTATGATAGATCTCTACTTTTTTCTTTTCCTTTTGACATAGAAATATGTATGGACATTCACCTAGCTTGATAAATAAAGTGTTGCTGCTGAAAGACTTGGGAAAGTATACTTTATTTAAACACACTCAGCTTCATTGTTGCATCTTAATTTTTTTTTAAAGTCCTTCTGAGGATTGTGAAATTTGTTCAAACCAAATTAAAAAGAAAACATTTTCTGTGATTTCTTTATAGATTCTGGACAATCAGGAAGTCCAAGCCACAATGATCCTGCCAAGAATCCTCCAGGTAAATATGTGCTCCAAGACGTTTGCAATCTAACATTGTTGGAGAACAAAGGTACCACTGTACAGATAAACACCCCATGATTGGTCAGCTGCCTATTTTGTTCTGGCAGGCAGGTATGATCAGGACAAGATGTGATTCTGTGTAGGCCCTTCACAGTGGCAAATACTTCTATATGGGCGTCATCCATATTTACCTAAGCACCGCCATTTTAATTTTTGTTGGTGTTGTTTGAAAAGTGAATGTGCATGTATTTCAGTTGTGCATTGTTCAAGTGCTAAAAGTCATTGGTGCTTAAAAAGCCGAGAAACCACTTCATCATTCTTTTAAAATGCACAAGAAAAAATAAAAATTTCCATACCCCTATTATAGTTTATCAACTCTCATTACTCTAAAAGAAGGGTTGTGGTGGTGGTTGGTTATGTGTTCAGTGAAGGATTCTTTGAAAATGAGTTTTTATTCCATAAAGTTTTTATTGGATTCCAAGAATCAGGAAATAATGAAAGTAGGACTTTTCCTTCAGTATAATGTATGCCGAATACCCTCTTTATGTCCAGAAGATGTTCCAGATCTGAAAATGGGCTTTCATAACTTGGCTGTCTTCATAGTTTTGTTGCTTCTAAACCTGAATATATAGAACTTGACATTGATTTAGGAGTAGTTTGTGGTTTTTCCTCATGACATAAAACTTGTGCAAAGAAGAATTTCTAATATTTCGTTATCAGAAGAATTTTATTTGTATCTGTAGCTTGGGTAAAAGTGTGCTCTAAGAATGAACCAACAAAAACAAAACAAAATGAACAAAAAATCCAAACTTACCACACATGCCCTCTACCTCCACAAATAATCTGATCTGGTTGTTTTCATTGAAAATAAAACAAAACTTTTTAAAAGGTGATAATAAAAGTTTTCTCAGGTAGACTTAGTTTTAGGTCCTTAATTTTTTGACCTGCCTTGTCATAGGGTTTTGCTACTGTGAGGTTGAACTATCTGAAGAACTCCAAACTGTAAGAAAGTATGTCAGACCAGTCTTGTTTTAAAATGTTGTTAGAAAGATACAGTAAGTAAATATGCAAGTAAAAATGCAAGGTCAATATACTTTTTCTTTCTGAGTCTTGCCTATATTTTGTTCCTTATTTTTATCTTAGAAAAATTATACTTGTCCAGCTGTATATTAACTTACTGTGTATTGTACAAAACCTTACTGTTTGGCAAAAGTAGCGGATACTTCAAAGATTAAAAGTTTTAATTAAATATAGATTGAAAAGTGTATGCTAACTTCATTTGTCCCGACTTTTATCAAAATCATTCAAAATTAATACAGACTGATAACAAACCATGCAAAAAACAGAACAATTTTAAATGTAATTTCCAGTTAAATCTATTACTTTATTTTTTGTGTTGGTGGGAGATTAGAATAAAAAAGATAGACTATTTCAAATGTAATAAATTTTGTCAGAAGTTTTCTCAAGTTGAGGGGCGCCTGGGTGGCTCAGTCGGTTAAGGGTCTGCCTTTGGCTCAGGTCATGGTCCCAGGGTCCTGGGATCGAGCCCCACGTAGGGCTCTCTGCTCAGCGGGAGTCTGCTTCTCCTTCTCCCTGCCGCTCCCCCTGCTTGTACTCTCTCTGTCAAATAAATATTTATTTGACAGAGAGAGAGACAGCAAGAGAGGAACACAAGCAGGGGGAGTGGGAGAGGGAGAAGCAGGCTTCCCAATGAGCAGGGAACCCGATGCGGGGCTCGATCCCAGGACCCTGGGATCATGACCTGAGCCAAAAGCAGACCTTAATGACTGAGCCACCCAGGTGCCCCTAAATAAAATCTTTAAAGAAAAAAGGAAATTTTCTGAAGTTGAGAAAATTTCAGTATGCCTTTAACTTTACTAAAGTAATCTTTTTATTTGAGTGATATTTTCTCTGCGGAGCATGATAACCCAAAGTGAATCATGTCCAAACATTTTTTAAAAGCTTCCTTACTCATTTTAGAAAGAATGGGGTGGGGGAGGGTAGTTAATAAAAAAAGAGTTGATAAGTAATGTAAGTCAGTCAGACTAAACAAAGGATATGGTCTTTGCATTTGAAATTAATAAAGCTGTTATTGTTTGAAATGCATTTCTGAACATGTACAGAAAGAATTACACTCACTTAAAAATGTTCTCTACTTAAGCTGAATGAATAATTGTTGAATAGTTTTATAATGCTGGAATTTGATTTTTCAATATTTGTCAAGAAGCTTGGTTAAATTTTTCTTTTGCTACATTCAGTGTAGCATCTCTAAATTCATCTGTTGCATATAATATGACAAACAGAAATAATCAAGGTAGAACACTTCTGATTTTTTCCCTTTTTAAATTTTCCTTGGAAATCAAACCTTTTTGAGACCGATATCTTAAAACTGGGATGTTGTAGATCATATTATGATTAGTTGAATATTATATATACACAAATGGTACATCAATTATCAGTTTTTCAGTTAGAATATAACATATGTAATATCAAAATTAAATGGAATAAAATTAGAATTTTCTTTGATGATGCAGAATCATGCCACCATTTTAACATACGTTGCGTATCATTGTATTATGGACTTAATCATAAAGATTGTTAAGGAATCCTATTTGATGGAAGTTAGAGTTTGTTCTGTAGTACCTTGAAATAAATCAAGCCACTAGGAATGTAGAATGGCTTCTAATTTGAAATGTGAAAAATCAGAACTTACTAAGGTTTTTGTTTTGCAGTCAGTTGGGATAAATTACACATATTATTAAAAGCTCTTTTCATGGGGCACCTGGGTGGGTCAATCGGGTAAGCGTGTGAGTCTTGATTTCGGCTCAGGTTGTGATCTCAGGGTATTGAGATCAAGTGCCTCGTCAGGCTCTGGGCTGAGTGTGGAGCCTGCTTAGGATCCTCTCCCTCTGCTCCTCCCCTGCTTGTGTGTGTTCTCTTTCTCACTCTCTCTCTCTCAAGAAAAAGAAAAAAGAAGAAAAGAGAAGAAAAAAGCTCTTTTCTTGAATATAAGCATGTTTGGGATTTTAGAGCATAATTTATCTTTTGGAGGCTTTTTTTCATCTCTGTGTTCTGGCTTTGGCTGAAATGTGAAATCTCTGAAGTTTCAGATTCAGTATCTCAAAAAGGCACAATGCATTCATGGGAAAATTCAGTCTACTTCCATAAACAATGAAACAGTCAAATCACTTTGCTGCTTGTATTGTTATAACAAAGAGAAGCTAAACTTTGGGAAAAGATCACTTTGAGGGCTAACACCAGTAGTTTCCTCATCACCAGTACTTTTCCACTGGGAGATGGGCAACCCATGGACGTGGCTACCATCTACTTCCCAACAGCTTGGAAAGAGATGGCAAAAAGTCCAGCCCTTTTGGAGGTAGAAGCTCTGTGAAATCTGTTCCCTGCTGTTGACCTGAAGGTGGAAACCCTTTCAGTCATTTGATAAGTACAGATGCATGTGTCTGCCCACAAATCGAACACCCCCTCTGGCTTGGCTTTTCTCCAGCATCAGACATGACTGTCCGACGTGGAGGTCACATCCTTGCTGATTCCGAAGAACTTCTGCAGGGTGACCTTAAAGCTCTTCAAACTAGTACGGATGTCTCCATATAGGCCTTTAATTTTCAACTGGTGCTTCTTGATTGGGATTAGTACTTAGCAAACTGAGCATAAGCAAACAAAAGCAACACATTATTGGGAGGAGCAGTATTTGGTATTTGTTATTTTTAAGAACATTTTTGCAGTGTTTTTGTTATTTTAAAGAGCAATGAAATAGTCTTTATTGCACCTCCTTATACTACTTGTGATTTAATATTTTGTTTTTATTCTTTGTTACATGGTGGGGATGGGCATCATCATCGTTTCAGAGCTAAGGTGCTTTAAAATTCTGATGGTGCCCAAGGATAGGACATTGTTATTTTAGTCAATAGGCACTAGACCAGTTCATTTTTTTTTTTTAATGATACACATTTCCTTTGTTTATGATGGAGTCAGAAGTTATATGTTTATATTTAGTTACTTTTTGAGCATTAAATTAATCCCTTCTAAGCAATAGAACTATGAATCCTCTCTCAACTATCGAAGACAACTGTTTGGACCAAACGAGAGTAAACCACTAATTTAGGGACTTACATCCATCCTAGTTTTATTTGTGACAATTAAAAACTCGACTGTCACTTTTAGGAAATGTGTGATTGAATTGCAATTTTTTGAAATTAGCTTTGACTTGCTCTGTTGTTTTGTATCTCTACATTCCTTCAGCTATGATCTTTTAAATATCCCAATCTCAGTCACTTGTCTATTGCTGCAGTGGTTAATATCCAAGAAAAACAAGGCAATCCAGAAGTTGGATTTTGCCTTTGGGTCAGTTAGAAGCTGACACCTCATTTTGGTGTTTAGGAGGTCTATAGTTACGTGGGGAGCTCTCTCTTGGCTGGAAATACAACAAAGAAATGGTGAATTTTAGGGAAGTTTTTGCAAATTCTATGATGAAAACTTATAAAGCATTCTAAGTATCATCAACCAGAGCTTTCTCAACTGGAATGACATGGACTTACCCTGCTTTTCTTTTTTGCACATTTTATAGCATGCTTGTGCTGTTTTGTGTGTTCATTTTTTGCGTATAGTCTGGCAAAACCTCTGGAGACCATTAGGATTATATATTGGGTGAATGTCAAATAAACTATCTTATATCCTCTCTGGAATAAAGATGGAGCTAAATAAATAATTGAATAAATTAGACAAGGAGTATCTATTAACTATAACAATATTCTTATCTTACATTTAAAAAGTTCTTTATTACATATATAAATATAAAGAAGTATAATATATAATATATTATATATAAATATATATAAAAAATATATTCCACATATCAAAGAGATCATATGATATCTGTCTTTCTCTGTCTGACTTCTTTCACTTAGCATAATGCCCTCAGGATCCATCCATGTTTTTGCAAATGGCAAGATTTCCTCCTTTTTTATGGCTGAATAATAT